TCTGAGGCTGGACCGCTACAAGGAGATCATCCGGACTCTTCCTCGAGTCAACAGGACCACCCTGGCTGCCCTCATCAGTCACCTGTACAGGTGAGTTGAACCCCCCACTGCTCTGGACCTGGGTTCGTCTCCGGACCGTGGAGGGTCTTTACTCACACCGTGTTGTTCTGGTCCTTCCTCTCCTTCAGAGTCCAGAAGTGTGCTGACCTGAACCAGATGTGCACCAAGAACCTGTCCCTGCTGTTCGCGCCCAGTCTGTTCCAGACCGACGGGAAGGGCGAGCACGAGGTGAAGATCGTGGAGGACCTGATAGACAACTACCTGTACGTCTTCGATGTGAGTACGGCTCTGAAGAGAGAGTCCGGGTCCTCTCTGAAGGACCACACTCAGGGCTGCTGGAGTTCAGGTTCATCACCTTCACATCTTCTGTGTCGGACACAAACGTGCAGAAATCAAAACTTCTCTGAATCTGTCAAAGACCTGTAGCGCCCCCCAGAGGTCATGAGTGTGAACAGCTGGTGTGTGTGTGTGTGTGGTCTGCGGTGATTTTCAGCGCTCGCCGTGTGACGTGTCTCTATGGATGGGGGTGTGGTCAGTGGTTTTGGATGATCTGTTGATGAAACGTTGAGGTTTTGTACGTGAGTGAGGGTCTCAGACGATGATTGATGATGTGAGGAGACCCTCGAGGATCACGTGTCTGACTCTGAAGAACAGTCTGTTGTTTCATCTGCACGTTGTTTCCATTTGATCGTTTTCTCAAATGTCGTTAAAAATCACCAAACTGAGCGGCTGCGTTTCAGATCGACGAGGAGCATCAGACTCAGATCGAGCTGGAGATCAGCCTCATCACCACCTGGAAGGACACGCAGGTACCAGAGTCACCTGACCGCCTCACCGCCACTGTGAGGGAGCGTACTGAGGTGTTAACGTGTGTGTGTGTGTGTGTGTGTGTGTGCGCAGCTGTCTCAGGCCGGTGACCTCATCATCGAAGTCTACCTGGAGATGAAGATCCCTGACTGCTGCATCACTCTCAAAGTCAGTCTGCAGACACTCTGATGATTCTCTTAACGAGCACCTGCCGCTTCGTTAACGAGCGGCAGGCGAGTCCTGAGCTTTGTGTGACCTTTGACCCCGCAGGTGTCTCCCACCATGTGCGCCGAGGAGCTGACCAATCAGGTGCTGTTCATGAGGAACGTCCCGGCCGGAGACAGAGACGTGTGGATGACGTTTGAGGCCATCGAGGACGGACAGCTGGGTAGGACACAGAACCTGAACACCTGTCTCTGTGGGACTCACCTGTGCGGGTGAGTTCAGGGTCCCTCCCTCCCTCCCCCCTGACTGTCGTGTTGTTGTTGGTGTCGCTGCAGAGCGTCCGCTACACCCCAAAGAGAAGGTGCTGGAGCAGGCGCTGCAGTGGTGCAAGATGGCCGACCCGAGCTCCGCCTACCTGGTGGTGAAGAGAGTCCCTAAAGGAGAGGGCATCAACATCCTCACCTGTAGGTCACGCACACACACACACACACACACACGAAGTCTGCTCCTGAATCCATGGTTGGAGATCATTGACCTTTGACCTGGAGGTCATGCCGTCAGGGTCGCTAACCTCTGACCGTCTCCGTCCAACAGCCTACAAGAGCGAGATCATGAAGGTCGGTCTGCTCAAGTGTCGGGAGGAACCTCCAAAACTGCTGCAGGGAAACCGCTTCCAGGAGAGAAGCTTCCAGATCAAAGAGCACAAACTGCTGCTGCTCAAGGACAAGAAGGTCCAACACACACACTTACGAGAGTGAACACATGAACACATGAGAGTGAACACATGAGAGTGAACACATGAACACATGAGAGTGAACACATGAGAGTGAACACATGAGAGTGAAAACAAGAGAGTGAACACATGAGAGTGAACACATGAACACATGAGAGTGAACACAAGAAAGTGAACACATGAACACATGAGAGTGAACACATGAGAGTGACCGTGAACACATGAGAGTGAACACATGAGAGTGAACACATGAGAGTGAACACATGAACACATGAGAGTGAACACAGTGAACACATGAGAGTGAACACATGAACACATGAGAGTGAACACGAGTGAACACATGAGAGTGAACACATGAGAGTGAACACAAGAGAGTGAACACATGAGAGTGACCATGAACACATGAGCGTGAACACATGAGAGTGAACACATGAACACATGAGAGTGAACACATGAGAGTGAACACATGAACACATGAGTGAAGCATGAGAGTGAACACATGAGAGTGAACACATGAACACATGAGAGTGAACACATGAGAGTGAACACCTGAGAGTAAAAACATTAACACATGAGAGTGAACACATGAGAGTGAACACCTGAGAGTAAAAACATTAACACATGAGAGTGAACACATGAGAGTGAACACATGAACACATGAGAGTGAACACATGAGAGTAAACACACATGAGAGTGAACACATGAACACATGAGAGTGAACACATGAGAGTGAACACATGAACACATGAGAGTGAACACATGAACATATGAGAGTAACCATGAACATATGAGAGTGAACACATGCGAGTGAGCACATGAGAGTGAACACATGAGTGAACACATGAACACATGAGTGAACGCATGAGAGTGACCATGAACACATGAGCGTGAACACATGAGAGTGAACACATGAACACCTGAGAGTGAACACATGAGAGTGAACACATGAGTGAACACATTAACACCTGAGAGTGAACACATGAGAGTTAACATGAACACACGAGAGTGAACACACGAGAGTGAACACATGAGAGTGAACACATGAACACATGAGAGTGAACACATGAGAGTGAACAAATGAACACCTGAGAGTGAACACATGAACACAAGAGATCACAATCCAGGTCTGTAACTGTTCCTGTTCTTGTTCAGAGCATCAAGCCGGAGAAGGAGTGGTCTCTGAAGTCCATGAAGATCTACATCGGGATTCGCAGGAAACTCAAAGCTCCAACCAGGTCACACACACACACACACACACACTCACACACACACACACACACACACACACACACACACACACTCTCACACACACACACACACACACACACACACACACACACACACACACACACACACACACACACACACACACACACACACACACACACACACACACACACACTCTTGGTACTCACTCTGTGTGTGTGTGTGACCTGCTCTCTGATGATCTAACAGTAAATGTCTCACCTGTCCCCTCCCCTTTAGGTGGGGCTTCACTGTGATGTCAGACAAACACCAGCTGTGAGTATTCCTCTGACCTCTGACCTCTTAGACCTGATCTCTGGTTTAACAGGACGAGTTTAAAAACACCTGAACAGAAGCTGCTGTAACAAACGGAGAAAACGCTCCTTCTTCTTCTCCTCCTTCTTCTTCTTCTCTTCTTTCTTTTCCTCCTCCTCCCCATCCTCCTCCTTCTCCTCCTCCTTCTTCTCCTCCTCCTCCTCCTCCTCCTCCTCCTTCTTCTTCTTCAGGTTCCTGTGCTGCAGCTGTGAAGCCGAGCTCTGGGATTGGATCACCAGCTTCCTCAAAGCTCAGGTCAGATCATCTCTCTGATCAGCTGACGGGGTCATGTTCATGTCTGACCTTCAAACACTCTGAATTCACTGAACTTTAGTCAGTCTGTGTTTGACCTTTCCTGACCTTTCCTAAAGTCGAGTCAGCGTTCGTCTTAAAACAGCCGACTCAGCCGCTCGTGCGTTGGCGTGTTTACATCGTTCAGACTTTAGTTCGGACATCTTTACACCCGAGCTGAGATCAGAGCTCATTTACACATTTTTTACAGCATTATCATTACGTCTCCGTTCTTCCACACATGTTTTGCATTCATACACTAGAGGGCGCCGCTCAGACCCCAAAGTTAGAAGAGCCAAAAGTTTCTGAAAACAAACGTGAGGAGGAGAAAATATTAACGACATGTCCGTTAGGAAAAATCAGAGACACTTCAGAGGAATGAACTCAAGCTCCCAGCATCCTCTGGGGCTCAGACGATGACACTGTCCTGCTCTCTCTCTCTCTCTCTCTCTCTTCTTCTGTGGTTATTTTCCAGAACGATGACCCCGGTCCTCCGGTGCTGAGGCGTCACTCCTCCTCCGATATCTCCAAACAGAAGTTCGGCACGATGCCGCTCGTCCCGATCAGAGGAGACGAGAGCAACAGCAGCCTGCTGTCGGCCAATCAGACGCTGGTTAGACTCACCTTTGATTTCTCACCTGTGGATCGATTCACATGTTTAAAGGTCGACTCTCAGTCTTTGCATGATGGGTAAAACTCTGAGGATTTGATGAAGATGTGAAGGTTCACTGACCCAGCTGATCTTCATGTTTTCATCTACTCCTGATTTATCCTCATGTTGGTCTGAAAGTTACGATCAGCTGATGTCACAGGAAGTTTAAAGATTTATTCATAACTAAAAAAAGTTGAATTTCTGCCGATTCTTCACTGATTCTCCTTTTTCTCTGCAGAGAAAGCTTCATGACAGACGGACCCTCTCCATGTACTTTGTGAGTTTTTTTTTTACTGAAGATCAAAATCTGAGAAATCTGAGCGGCTGAGAGAAATGTTGATTAAAAACCTGATTCTGAGGGTTCAAAGGTCATTCAGCCGACAGTCGACTGAAAATGGTGCAAAGTTCTGATGGAGGAGCAACCAAACAAGTTCTGATATAAGGGTTAGTCACATGACTGGGTCTTAGACGGATCTTCAGAGAGGCGGAGTCTCTCAGAGGTTCAGGACTCTGTGAAAGACCGCGTGAGGGAACAGCTCAACAGTTTCAGAATAAAGTTCCTGAGTGATTTCATCGTCTACAGAAGATCAGATCATTCAAAGACTAAACCTCCAACTTCCACCTTCATCCTGATCATCTCCTTAAAGGTCGTATCCTCCGATCGTAGCTGATCGTAAACATTCAAGTTAACGTGTCGATTTACACCGACTTCTTTCCGTTCCTCTACGGATCGCCGGACTCCTCAGCTGATCACAAGAGTTCTAGTTTTTCTGGACGCCGGAGCATGGCGGATAAATTCAGCACAGATGAACCCGTGCTGGAAAGGAAGTCGGGCACAGACACAAAATAAAACATCCGGCTTCTTTTCAAAATAAAACACTCCGTGTTTCAGGAGGATCGTATTTCACACCATGCAAACGGGCGGAGACGAACAAGTGAAAGGTTTTTAGACGTCATTTCACCCCGATGACACCATGGATGAGGAGATGCTGATTCTAGAAGTCTAGAAGTAGATTTCCTCCTCTGGAAGGACACAATCTACTGCTTATATGTCTATGTGTCTGTCTTTAGAGAGACGACTCGTTATCGTGGGATTGAACGTGAATCTGCGGGTTCTTGTGAGTTCTCGTGATTACCGCTGTCCGTAATCCGCCATGAAATTCGCCTCACAAACGGATCAAGTAAGAATTGGCGGATGATGAACATCGCCAATGTTCTGGATCGGAGGCTTTCCAGATTCGGTGTAAATTGGGGGTTAGAGGATCTGGAGAACTCTCTATACTAAAGGGGAACAGGGACCAAAACTAGGACTAGATGGTCCTGATCTTCAGGGCATAAAAACAGACAGGATTCTGGAGTGGGAGTCACCGCATGGACTCAGAATTCTAAAGTATTTAGTCTTTTCACCATCTTCAGTTAAATTCAGACTTTATTTGATTCACAATAATCAGGTTATCAACATTTCATGACGCCTGAACTCTCAGATTTGAGGTTTTGTAGTTTTGTGTTTTTGTAGTTTTGTGTTTTTGTAGTTTTGTGTTTTTGTAGTTTTGTGTTTTTGTAGTTTGTGTTTTTGTAGTTTTGTGTTTTTGTGTTTTTGTAGTTTTTTTCGTAGTTTTGTGTTTTTGTAGTTTGTAGTTTTGTGTTTTTGTAGTTTGTGTTTTTGTAGTTTTGTGTTTTTGTGTTTTTGTAGTTTGTGTTTTTGTAGTTTTGTGTTTTTGTAGTTTGTGTTTTTGTAGTTTGTGTTTTTGTAGTTTTGTGTTTTTGTAGTTTTGTGTTTTTGTAGTTTGTGTTTTTGTAGTTTTGTGTTTTTGTAGTTTTTGTGTTTTTGTAGTTTGCAGTTTTGTTTTTTTGTATTTTGTGTTTTTGTAGTTTTGTTTTTGTAGTTTGTGTTTTTGTAGTTTTGTGTTTTTGTAGTTTGTTTTTGTAGTTTGTGTTTTTGTGTTTTTGTAGTTTTGTGTTTTTGTAGTTTTCTTTGTAGTTTGTGTTTTTGTAGTTTGTGTTTTTGTGTTTTTGTAGTTTTGTGTTTTTGTAGTTTGTGTTTTTGTAGTTTTGTGTTTTTGGAGTTTGTGTTTTTCTTCCAGTACCAGTTTGTACTTCTTCTCCTGTCGTGTCGTTTCTGGATCTTTGTGAGCACTAACTCCTGGTATGGACTAATCTGATCTTCTCTCTGTGGACCTGCAGCCCATGAAGGTGCAGCAGGACTCGTTCGAGGAGCGCCCTGAGTCTCCGGACCTCCCTGAGCCCCTATACGAGGAAGTCGGGGACTTCGGCCTGCAGGTCCTTAAATCTCTGGAGACCAGCTTCCTGTCTAACAGCACCTCTGAGACCCAGGAGGTCCTGGACCAGCCGCCACTCAGACTGGTTCCTGTGGACACCGGACACGTGGACCACATCATCGTCCCAGACCCCGTCCAGACTGAGGAACCTGAGGAGCAGAACGGAGACAGAGGAGCAGAGAGGAGGAGGAGGAGGACTCAGCTGATGGGGGTCTGCACACCTTCACAGGAGCTGCTGCTGCAGGAGCTGTCGTCTGCTTTCACCAAGAGGACAGAGGGGGAGGAGGGGGAGGAGAAGGGAGAGGAGGAGGAGAGGGAGGAGGAGGTGCAGAATCAAGACCATCGGGAGGAGGAGAAGGAGGAGGAGGAGGAGAGGCCGTATGATGTCTAAGAGGAAAAACACTCACAGTTGAACCGTGATGAGAGGGAAACAGACGAACAGCAGCGAGCTCTGTGATTGGCTGTGAGATCACCTGAGGACCACCGCACACCTGAGGAGGGAAGGAGCGTGAAGAGAGACGGAAACTGATTTTACATTCCTGTGTGTGTCCTCCTCATGCTAACGGAGCTCAGACTGAGGCTGACACGCACACACACACACACACAGGTCTATATATAATGTAACACTGAAGGAAATATAAAATGAGTCTTTGTTTAAGCCCCGCCCATTATCCCGCCAACAGTGCCCATATGGAAGAACAGAACAAGAACCTAAAACAAAAAAAAACAGAGAAGAAGAAAAACCCAAACCAGTAAATATTTACAACTCCATCAACAACCCAGAGCATCGATGAGACGAGGGCGCCGCTGAGCTGCTGACGTGTTTGTGCGAGCTCCCGTCGAACTTCCTCTTATTTGGCGTTTATAGACACACTGAACATTAAAACGTCCTCCAATCTGCTCTGAAATATTCACAAGCAGTGAACTCGAGGCCCAACACTCTTAATACCCCCGACAAGAGCGTCTCCACCTCGGCTACGGTCAGCTAACGTTAGACCAGAGATGGAGTCCCTGAAATCGGAGATTCTTCTCTCGCTGAAAACTGAAATTTCGGCGGAGAGAAAATCCGACGACTTTGACTTCCTTAAAAATGAGCTACAGGCTTTAAAAACAACACGGCGGTGATTCACTCGGACATTGTCGCGTTGTCTTTACTAAGACAGCACGACCTTCAGACCGAGACAATAACGTCAGAGGAGAAAGAGAAAGAAAGAGAAAGAGAAAGAGGTGGAAACAGCAGAAAAAAACAACAAATGAGATTTAAAATAAACATCTGAGGAAGAAACACTAAAGAGATAAAATCAGTGAAACAGGTGAGAGTATAAAAACAATAAAGACCCACTGAGGAGGGCACCAACATCTGACAACTTTAAAATAAGACCCTGTTAGAAGACACAGACCTTAACCTGTCTAACACGCCCCCTACTGGACCAGGACGGGTATTACAAGAAGGGAAACAGTTTCTGCTGGATAGATGGAAAAATGTCTCAACAACACCTGAAACACCTGAGAGAAATAAGATCTTTATGAAGACACACATGTTGTGTGTGTGTGTGTGTGTGTGTGAGTGTGTGAGTGTGTGAGTGTGTGTGTGTGTGTGTGTGTGTGTGAGTGTGTCTGATCCTGAGTACCGGTCAGGTTTTGAAGTGATTTTCTGCTCTGGTTTCTGTGAAGGTTCCTTTAATAAGACGTCTGTATGTTATTTCATATTTTATTCCTGTACATTAGATCCAGTTTAAGGTGAAGCAGAACATGTGAATGGATGAAGGATGAAAACACTCTTATTGTTAATCCTGTATTTTAGTTGTATATAAATATAAGAAGACGTGTGAGTGAACTGCTGCTCATTTAACCAACTATAGATTCATTCATACTTCCTGTTATCACTCTCATTATATTACAGTCCCTTTATATGTTAACTTATTTTATAAAACTGCATTTACACTTTTACACTGTGACCCCTCCCTTTAGAGGATGTGATACTCTGGATGAACAGCAGGTGGCAGCACATATCCGTCTGTGTTCAGAGGGGGGAGAACTTACAGCAGTAAAAACAAACTATGAGAAATGAAAAAGTCCGTCCACCTGTCATTAAAAACCTCTGTGAATGTGGTTAAACTGGTCAGAGTGTGTGTATATAGTCCAGTTCTATATCTGATGTACATTATTCTATGAGGATGAAATTAAATATTATTCTGTTTTCATAATGTTCATGTTATTCTTTGTGTGTGTTTGACACAGTCGGACCTAAAGCGCTTCTTCATCTACTGAGAAGTTCTTAGTGGAACATTATCAAACCTGAAAATGAGCGTTACACCCCTTCAAAAATGAAGAGCAAAATTCAGGGTCCTCTGGCTCTGGAGGCCAATTATTATAATAACGGCATGGATCTAATTTATGGGTTTGATGTGTGTGTGTGTGTGTGTGTGTGTGTGTGTCTGTCCGTCTTTGTGAGGACCAGCTGCATGTTCACAAACACTCATGAGCCCCGTGACAGAGAGGTGAGATAAACTGGCCTGGTTCTTCAGTCTCTCTCTGTACTCTGTAACAGGACCGGCCCATAGACTGTATCTAGAATAGACGCCATCTGTCTCCTCTCTGTGAGAACAGCGCCCTCTGGTGACGGGCTGCAGTATAGGTCCTAAACCCCGCCTCCTTATGGAGCTGTGGACAAACTTTCTAAATGAATGACACAGAATATAAATGTTTCTCCCCCCTGGTTGTGATGTTGACATGTAGTTACTGTCAGACTGGTTTGTGCTCAAGTCCTCTTTTTTCTGTACAGCTCCATTTTTAAAAGTTATTAGGGGGGTTCATGTTTTCTATGATTGACACCTGATACAGCCTATGGGAGGACAGAGATTGAGTAGATCACCGGGGGGATACGCTCAGAGCAATGGATTAAAACAGAGTGGCGACAACTTCAGATCTCGCCGCCGGAGCGGTCACGTGGTTCATGTACCCCTCCATAGTTCCAAACGCAGCCTGCACTGTCCATGCTCTTCAACGGGGCAGACTGCAGTGAGCGCGCATTTAAGAGGTAAATATTAAAATTAACCGTAAAAAGTCAACATTTGCAACTCTTATTGGATTACTGTGTACACGTCAAAGTCACGTACGCATATTTAGCGGCTGGATGACGAATAAAAGTGAAATAAGACAAGTTTGGTAACGCGTGTTACTTTTTAATAAGAGAAAATAATACAATAAAGTGGTAAGTAACAGGTGTTACAAGCTGTTTAAACAATTGTACAATGTTTTGGTCTTGCAGCATGGCCTGCATGACATTTGTCCATGTTAAACATACGCCTTACATGCTGACAGGATTTAAAAAGTAGCGGCCCCTTAACTCTATCATCCCATAAGCAGAAATCAAATTACATAGCACTTATGTTAGTCTAAAAAGAATAAATTGCACAGAACATTGGGAACTGATAAAGGCTGAAATCTAAAATAAAGCCCATAAGTAACCATCTCAACATATGATTGATGATGATGATTCATCTGTGATTCATAACTCAGTCACACAATAGATTTTGGCAGGCCTCTACAGCTGACGACGTCCAGCTAGCAGGCCGTGGCTAAAAAATCGATCCCAATTCCTAACTAAAAAAAGGGAATTACATTTGTAATTACAATTTGAGCATACTAAAATTAAAATCATTTTACATATAAAGGGGTCCCTCAATACCATTTACACACGTATTGGCATTACATTCGTTGATACAATATTTTACCTCGGGGAGTGTGGGAGCAAACCGTGGCTAAAAAATCGATCCCAATTCCTGACCATAGAAACGTAATTACATTTGGGATATACATTTTTACATATAAAGGGGTCCCCTCGAGATCAATAACACACGTATTGGCATTAAACTTCAGACACTCATAAACACACGTCCTCCTCTGTGAGACTCATGCTGGAGGACAAAAGAAGATTTTTTTTTTTCCATATGATTTTTCACTGTTCCTCTGTGATTATTATGGAGGACATCTTTATCGATGCTGTTTCCAGAGTAAAAAGAAAAAAGGAGACCACATGAGGCTGTTTGACTGAAACAAAGTCTTCCTGAATGCTTCTTTTTCTTTTTCTTTCTTTCATTCCTTCCTTCCTTCCTTCCTTCCTTCCTCCTCTGACAGGTTGTGTTGCACAGAGTGAACAGCAGGTGGCAGCACAGACTCATTCTTCATCAGCTCTGACTGCAGAGAGTTTTTAAGAGTTTAAAACAGCCTGAACTTTATTTTGACATTTTTAACTCACAGTTAGTCTAATTTAAAATATTTAAATACTTATTTAAAACAAATGATTCAGAGACGATGTTGAAAATAATCAGAATAAGAATCAGAATTATGTTAAAAATAAGTTTTGAAATAAATCTGTAAGTTTCTTTTTTAAACAAATAATACTTGAAAATATTTATCTAATTGGTTTTAAGAGTTAATGTCATGTACAAGCAGGTGATTATGTGCAGCGCCCCCTACTGGACATTCAAACAAGCATTTCTCCAGCGAGCGAGTAAGAGTCAGGTGTTCATGCAGGTTATTTCATAGATGTAGAGAATATAGATTTATCTGTCTGTGCACAGATACCTTTATTTTACAGAAATACCTCTGTTTTCTTCTCGGTCTTGGTCAGAGATCGTACTTAGTTAGTTTAATATAATTATAGTTTCATATATATGGTCTGTGGTCTTGGTTTTGATCTGGTCTTGGTTGTTTTCGTACACGCCCCCGTGTCTTTGGAAAGGCGTGAACAGAGCGCTGGTGCGTTTCTTGTGTTAAATGTCCAGTTTGGTTTGTACTTCATCATCATTTCATGTTTAACGTGTGAACATAAAGGTAAAGTTTACTGAAGTCACACTCGGTGTTTGTGTTCACATACTCGTCCAATGAAGCTGGTTCTGGTTCTGGTTCTGGTTCTGATCTTTATCTATGAGGCTTTAAAATCTCCGTTTAAGGACCATCTGACCGGTGAATGCTCGTGTTTCACTGCTGAGAGCTGCTGAATTATTGATCACTGTCTGTCGTTTGTCTCACACTGAGGGGGAAACTCCTCTGTGAAAGAGATTCTGTCAAGTTTATCGTTAAAACACGTCTAAAGAGCAAATGTCACGATTTCCTCCTCAATGAGACACATGATATAGATATGTGTCTCATATCCTTTGCCTCTGATTGGCCAGAAGTGCTGGGCTCTGATTGGTTATTCCTAATGGCTGTGAAACGTCATAATCTGTCGGGTTAGGAGATTCAGAAGTGCGATAATGTTCTGTTTGATGTTCAGAGCCGACAGCCCGCGTTCGGCTTGAGTGTGTGACGACGTTTCCAGCTTTTCTAGCCAATCAGAGGCGAAGGAGGCGGGACTTTCCCCTACCATCGTACAAAAATATATATATCTAAGAAAGTTGTGTTTGCGTTCGCCTTGTCCGAATAAAAGGTCAGCGCTAAAGTAGCTTTGGTAGACGTAGCCATCTTGTTTCCACTCCGATTTCGCTTTTTTCTGACTTGGTAACTGAAACGCTACAAACTCGGGTGAGACGTCATTCTTTTGCACAAAGGACTGATGGGTCGGTCTGGGATTGGTTATCTCGGTCAGTCAATCTCGAACTACAGCGAGCCAAGAAGTTAATGATCATGAAAACAATAAATACAGAGAATTGAACGGGGAAAATAAACGTGAGAAATGTCCGGTGTGGCGTGAGAAGGGGTCAGATTTGCTGACTGTAGCTGCGTTTCCATTACATTTTTTCGCAAAATAAAAGCGATGTTTATCAAATTTCGACAAAGTACAATCGCGATTTGCGGGTGTTTCCATTGAACGGTGTTCAGTGCATAAGCGAGCCGTCTGCCTCTCGCGAGACGTGTTTAAATGGCCGTTGCCTAGCAACGAGGTAAACTTCCTGCCCGTGCGACCTCGTATTCCTTAAGCCTTTTTGCACACCGACATGGACGAGACACTAAACATTTTTCGTTTTGGAGCAGCTATTTCTGTGACCATTACTGCTGTTGCCACTGCTGTCATTAGAAGACGAAGGCAGCGGGTGATAATTCAAAGGCAAAGCTCGTATGTCTGGGAGCGAACACGGATGAGCGATTTCTGGGAGAGGATCGTTAATGAGGAATTCACAGACGAATTGTGGATTCAAAACTTCAGAAAAATACAAATACAATTCAAAACTTCAGAAATAAGTCCGTCTCCTCCCCCGTCCACATATACCGTGCCATCTACGCTTGAAATGAACTGGTCACTTGACCCGCTACGTCACGTCCGGTGACAGAGAATTGCGAGAATAGTGTTTCCATTACACTTTTGCGATAAACTTCTATATCGACACTTCTGAAAAACCACCTCATGAGAGCGTAAAAACTTTTTTGCGATATTTGGGAGGTTTTTCGAAATGTAGGTGTTTCCATTACCAGTTTTCTATTGCGATATTTACGTTTTGCGCAAATCTATGGGTAATGGAAACGCAGCTTGTGACACTCAAAGCCTGAAGCTTGGCGGCTCTAAAAAGTAACACCCCAGGCTGTGTCTGACTTCCTGTCAGTGCAGAATCAGTCAAAAACCGGCGTCTCCGTCAGAGGCTGAAATGAAGGTTTTCTCAGATACATAAAGAGTTCATGGAGCCGCTCTGCAGGTGTCCCAGACTGACAGACTGTCAGGTGAGACCACAGACTGTTTTTAATACGGACAACCTGGTTCCGCCTCCCGCCAGTTTACGGATTTGAAGCAGAAAAGTTTTTTTTCTTCATTTCCTGAAACCAACATTGCACAGTAACATTGTTCGCATTCGGCCGGAGAGTCTCTGTGACGACGCTCGGCTCAAACAGCGTAGGTGATCTACTCCATCTCTGTCCTCCCATAGGCTGTATCGGATGTCAATCATAGAAAACAAGAACCCCCTGGACTGTTCCAGTATGTTTCCAAAAGTCCAAAATTTTCTGAAACATTCCGGAATCTTATTGATCTTTAAGAATGTCTTTGATGTTCTAGAATGTTATTGATCTTTTAGAATGTCTTTGATGTTACAGAATGTTGGGTGATATTCTAGAATGTTCTACATCCTCCAGAGCGTCACCACCACAGACTGTATTTACTCATTCGGCGGGAGAGTCTCTGTGATGACGCTCGGCTCAAACAGCGTATCCCCCGGTGATCTACTCAATCTCTGTCCTCCCATTGGTTGTATCAGGTGTCAATCATAGCAAACATGAACCCCCTAATAACTTTTAAAAATGGAGCTGTACAGAAAAAAGAGGACTTGAGCACAAACCAGTCTGACAGTAACTACATGTCAACATCACAACCAGGGGGGAGAAACATTTATATTCTGTGTCATTCATTTATAAAGTTTGTCCACAGCTCCATAAGGAGGCGGGGTTTAGGACCTATACTGCAGCCCGTCACCAGAGGCAGATGGTGTCCATTCTAGTATGATGATTAGAACAGGTCTGTTATTCTGAGTTTGAGACCCGGCCTCGGACCCTTGGTCTGCTCTCCTCACCTGGGTAAATTTGTGTTTCATATGTGGATCAGAATCGCTGACAGCAGCTGGATTTCTTGTGTTTGTTTATCAGTCTCTCTGTTTCTATTGGCTCATCTCTGTGATTTTCATCGTCTCCTCACTGTACGGCTCTGCAGCATCAGTTACACTCTTGTCCTCTCTGGGCCTCTGTAGTTCACTGAAGCAGAGCCGAAGGACGGAAAAAGGCCAGAAGCAGCCGGCGGCAGAGACGGAGCGCTGAGGCCGAACAAAGAGGATGGATTTCAGCGAGGACACCAAACCTTCCTAAATCAGTTAGACCTGAGCCCGGCCTGACCCCGAGCTGCTCATCCGGCCCGTGGAGCTGAGGGGGGAAACCGATCAGCCACATGACCGTCCCTTAAGTGACAAAATGCCCTGAGGTGACACACACACACACACACACACACACACACACTTGTACTGTGATGTGTGGACAGCTGCAGCTCTGTGATCAGACCACCTCAGTCGAGTTCAACACAAGTCCAAGACCAGGTCCTCTAGAGTCAAGTATAGAGCTGAGTCTGACGGCAGGAGCAGGAATCTGAGTTTATTCTTTAATGTCAGAGACACGTCCTCCTCCTCCTCCTCCTCCTCCTCCTCCTCCTCCTCCTTCTTCTCTTAGAGTCCCAGATTTTCAGACTAAAAGGATCCCGGTCTGAAAAATTCAGATTCCTGTCTGTAAAACTGATCCAGGTACTTTTGGATCATTAAATACTGAGGTTTTAAAGAGCCAAGGACAGTTTTCCTTTTTATACTCAGGATTGTCCCAAACTCTTCAAACTTCTCATCACAAACATGAAGACCTTCTTCTTCTTCTTCTTCTCATTTCTTCAAACTTGTGCAGCGTTCTCACAGTCTCACTTCTCTTATTGTTGTCAGGAGGAGTTAAACATGTAGACCTCGGAGGACCAGACAGGGTTCGACTCTAAC